CGCCACCTCTCTCCTTGCTTGTTATTTAGTGACCTCTTAACATTACACCTGATCTCGCAATACCCCTATCCCCGCGGGACCAGCTGAGTGGAACACTTTTTCTGCCGTTTGGCATCTGAAATGCTCCCAGTGGGAAGAGACATGCTGCTGAACTTAAACTGTTCAATCCACAACTATTGTCCAGAGACCAAAGATCTTTTTGTATGTTACATGTCAGATACACTAAAATATCTATTTTCTGTTCGTTATTAGAGTTTGCTAATGTGCCATCACCAACGTTCCCCACAGGGATGGGTCAAATGTGTCCTTTGACCGTCTTCACTCGCTCACACCACACTTCCTAGTCCTCACACAGATTAATAAAAATAGCTGATCTATGAGCTAAACGTTGCAGGGTACTACTGTACACACTCCCCGCTGCATGCGATAGATTATGGGAGTTTATTGTATATCTGTCTTTTTTTATTTATTGATATTAGCTCCTTTGTTTCCAAGACGAAGCTGAATTTTATTCGACTCCCACGGGAGAACTGTCTCTATTTTTTTTTATCTCAGGAATTCTAAAAACAAAGTTTAAAAGCCACTGTTAATGTTCAAAAAATTTGTAAAATTCTAATTAAAGATTGTGTCAAAGTGCTTCTACTAGTTTATAAATCACCCAATGGCATGGGGGCCAAAATACATGCTGGATCTCCTTACAACATATACACCCAGCAGGGCTCTGAGGTCCTTAAGAAACCGTCAGCTGGTAGAACCTCGGGCCAGAACCAAACTGGGTGAAGTTGCTTTTAGCTACCAAGCTGCACACAGATGGAATCAGCTTCCTCATGACCTCAAATGTTCCCAATTATACTAACTTTTAAATTAAAATAGAAAACTTTCATGTATTCATCAGCCTTCGAATGAACGTTTCTTATGTTGAACCTTCTGCACTGTAACTGCTCACCTATTAACTTCGCCTTTTATCTGATTCTTAAATCTGAATATAATTTGCAAATTAAATTTGACCTAACTCTGTGTTTTTTATTATGCTGTTACAATGATTTTGCTGTTCTAGCTCCTGGAAAGCACATTGAATTGCCTCCATGTATGAAATGTGCTATACAAATAAAGCTGCCTTGAATAATTCAGACCTCAATTTCAATCAAAATAATGATGATCACCACTTCTGCCATAATCAAACGGCCCTAATATATTTTGTTATGTATTGTATTTAGGGTAATATGATAAATCTTTAATATTTGGCAGTCCAAAAAATGACCATGGCTGATGTATTTGCACAGGAGATATTTAGACGGTTTGTGGGCTTGACACACTACACGCAGCACTCCACCAGTCACAATCTTTCCTACTCAGGTAGCGGAAACACGGCACAAGGGTTCCATGTGACACGTTGTTTTTAGACTTTTACTGTTTTTGATCCAACTGTTAACTGGGTTGCAGTTTGTTCACGTTACACAACAATAAAAATAAACTATTCTTTTATAGGACGCCTCTCATAATAAAAATCAGAAGGCGCTTCACAAGAACAAAATAAAAATTTTAAAAATTATTTTAAAAGTATAAAAAAAATGGAAGGATTCTATCCCTCTGTCACAACACCACTGGATCAGAGACGTTATGCAAAACGTTAAACCGGAAAAAAAATCAGATGTACCTTCAATGGCTCCATCGACAAGTTCCACGAAACATGGGACCCTTTAAGAGCTCGTGTTGATGACCTACCTGACCTGGACCTTTGACAACTCTCAACTGCCTCATGCCAGTCTTGTAACTAGTAATGTTGTGTGCCCTTTTTTATTCCTCCCTTTCTTAATTAATCTGAATTGTTTGGTCTGTCTTTGTTAATGTAAATATGTTTTTTTTTTTTTTCAGTTTTGAAGGATGACAAGTCTTCATAACCAAAGTTGGTACCGTTAGTTTTATTGTGTGTGCGTTTTATCTCTGAGCTGGCTGATGGGTTAACATAGCAGCTAACTATGCTAGCCTCTTCAGGCTGTGCCAATATAATTCAATAATCTACAGAAAAATAAATCAATGAGCTGCCAGTTTTACCGCTGTGTAAATACTGATCCAACGCTGGAAATAATTAATCGATAGCTTACCAAAATAACTTCTCCTGACTGGCTGATGCTACATCCCGCTTGTTAGATCCTCCCGTTAATTTTGGCAATAATCCAGAAAGGCACGGACGTTCTACCGGTCTCAGGAGGATCTACTGTGGGAATATGTGGATCATCTTTTCGATCCGACTTCTGAGTGTCGTAGCTTTCTCAAATGTCCTATTTTTTAATTACTGGCACTAACACTGTCGGCCGTGCAGGAATCCAGAAGGACCAGTAGTGGTTCCAGATGAATTGATAGTTGCAATATGTAGATTATTATTTTAGATTAAACCCCTGAGCGAATAGCCGTGACCAGCTTCTGTAGTCTGTGCATCAATAATGGTCAGATCTGAAGAAAGCTAGTGTTTCTACATTCCTCCTCACAAACTGATTTAGGAATTTAATTTTGCTACGTTAGTTAAAAATGCATGTAGGACTCCGACTTATGGCTCGGACTTTTTGCTGCAGCTGGAAACCTTAATAATTGAGAGCACAAAGTTGAACTAAATACGGCTAATCGCTCAGTGTTGGCAGCATCAGCTGCCCTGTAAGACATGTTTGAGAGAGCAGGATAGGTCTAATGGGTATAAGGGGAGGTGGCATCCACGTAAAACACTTAAATATGGGTGAATGGTGGCGCAGTTGGTAGCACAGTTGCAGGTTCAAAAACTGGCTGCAGACTTTCTGAATGGCATTGGCATGTACTCCCCAGGGCCCTCATTTATCAAACGTATGTAGAACTGTCCTTTAACTTTTCCTAAGAAAAACATTTAGAATGTGTGTACAAACCTGACTAGGCGGTGGCCTCTCGTACGAATGTTCCTTCGCAACCGGCTGATGATAAATCCCACCTCTTGTTCACAGTAATTTACATACAGAAACGCCCTCAAGTAACCATATTTGGTCACTCTACAGCCTCAGCACGTGAGGGAATTTGTTTTATTCCCAGAAAAATAAGAAAAACTTTATTGGCAGCAAGATCAAGACACTGGTTGCCAAAGCGCAGAAGAACCAAATAAGTTGCAGAGGTTATAAATGCGGTCAGGACAGAGAAGAGGTTCCTATCAGAAATAAATTAATTAATTAATTTGAGCTGGGCAATAAAATCGAAAATATATCGTTATCAAAATGTCTGACTTTATAGAGATAATTTTTCCCATGTCAAAAAATTTGATAATAAATGAAAAGATGTGTGTAGGTTGGCAACATTCATGTTGGATTGTTGGCATAAGACTTGTGGTCTTAATATTTTGCGAGTATTTTACTGGACCCCTGTTTAGATTTAACAAGACCATTCTTGACGTGGAATAGCTCTGATATAGGGCTGTGCAATAAATCGAAAATTCATCTTTATCAAAATGTCTGACTTTTATCGAGAATTTTTCCCATGTCAATAAATTTGATAATAAAAATGAAAAGATGTGTAGGTTGGCAACATTCATGTCCCTTTAAGAAGCTCTACCACCTTGAGTCACGTAAAAATGTGACTTAACGTAATACACGTGACAGCCCCATCATCTAGCCTGGCCTGCCAGACTCCTCCTCTGTTCAATTCTGCATAGAGAAAGGGTCTGGGAACTCTCCTATTCAAATAACCCCAACCCGTGCCAATTCTAACCGAGCCAATCAGCGCTGAGCAGCGTAAGTCACACACCACAACGACACGTTTGTCATAAACATGGCAACTGAAGCAAAATGAGGGCCCAGGCATGAATGGATTTTCTCCAGGTACTCCAGTTATCTCCCACTGGCCAGAAATATGCATTTTATGCATGCAAGCTGCATATTAGTGAAATTCTGACCCCAAAAAACAACATGTTGATCTACATCAACAGCCTGCTGGATAGCTAAAATTTCCCCTTTTATAGAAATGCAACACGGAGCCACACAAAACCACTCAGAGGGATGCAGTTTGAACATGCCTGCCCAGAGATTCCTGCTTGATTTGTGACTAATATTCTCCAGTTTCATTTTTGCCATGTTGAGTCCAATTCTTGGGGACAAGAAGGGCCATCGAAAACTCACTACACCTTTCAAGTGGCCCTCCATTGTAGTAAAACATTATCTGCACACAGAGATGATACTGTACTAATGTCTGGTGTGTCACTGTTTCCATTCAGGGATGAAACGTGTTTAAATGACAACACGTTGACCCAAAATGAAAGATGCTTGAGCTGCAAAGCTCCGTGAGTCACTTCTAACGCTGCTGGAGCGACCTCTGCTGAACACTTCACATCTTCACCTACATTATTTAATTTTGTGGTTAAAAATAATATAAAAATGTAGTCAACTACGGAGCATCAGTGTGCCCTCGTGTAGAAATAGGGTCAGTTAAACGATATTTGATGACAGATCTTTCCTTTTCCATCTAATCCAGAACCTGAACCAGCCTACACTAGAGTTGCTAACTCTGGACAAAAATAATAATAGGACAATAACCGCATTTAGCCCAAACACGCGAGCGTGTGGCGAGGACGACTGAAGAGAAGTTTAACGTAAAGAAGTAGAGAATAACAACCGGTTTCAGAACTGGCGCCTTCATTAGTCGGTTAGCAGGCAGACTGCAGAGCAGCACACACAAGAGAACACCGCAAACGCGCGTTTGACCCACTGTAACACAAATTTAACAATAACTCGATTTGCTAGAATTCAACTGGATAAAAAGAAAATCCCTCCACCGTGTGTGTGTTTAAAACGTATGCATTCTGCTAACTACTGCTAGCATAGCCGCTACCTAGCTGAACAACGTTCACATTTTGCCTCCAGTTAGCCGCTAACAACCGGGTCAGCTGAAAACTCAGAATAATACTGGGAGGGAATGCAACCTTTAATTTCTGCAACACGTTTCGAGCAGCTAAAGCTGGACACAGCTAGGAGAATGACATAAAGATGTACCATGAATGAAAGAGTCCCACAGAGAAGCAACCAACGCACAAGCACCGAACATTCAGGTTCCGGGGCGCAGCATCTTCCTGCACATTCAGTTGTCCTCCGGTACAGCACAAAAGCACAAGTCTCGGCGCTGGCAGCGGCCACTCGGCGCCTGAAAAGCACCTCGACACCGACAATTTACCCGCTTACAGACCGGCCCCGTGGCTGCGCGAGCCTAACGAATGTACCGAAGCGCCGAAAAGCGTGTGAGACGGGAAGAAGCTTGGCGAAGATAAAGCTCTCATACTCACCTCGGTCTCCACCGAAGCCATGGTGCCTGGACGTTGGCTCCGCCCACTCCCGGTTGCGTCACTTTTATTGATCCGCAATCTGGAACACCACACCTTAGAGATTTTATTTGTTATAAATGAGCATCTTTATTGATCATGGTTGTGGTGACAACCTTTTAAGATAGCTAACCCAACTATTTCTGTAAATACGGAAAAAGATTAGGGCCAGTGAAAAGAAAAAAAGAGAAAGAGGATTCTGTCTTTTTTTCTCAGAATTCTAACTTTAAAAATCCTTAGGAAAAAGGTCACAATTTTTAAAGTGAAATTTTTAGTAAGAGTTCTCATTCTTTTCTTTTTCTTTTTTCTTTTCTTTTTAGTGGCCGGGGTAAAAATCGGGTGTAAAAATCCACGGGAAAAAGGTCTAAATAGTCATTGAATTTCTGTCCTTCAAATAAAATTTCATGTATTTATTGACACGTTATTCCTCAAAAATAATAAATTGAGTTGGGTCGATTCTCACTACTCACTACTCTGCTTAAAAAGCTGAACAGGTTTTCTAAAATGTCTTCATGTAGTGAATTACCTGTTGATTTGTGTTGATTATACCCTATTCCAAATAACCATTTTTCTATACATTTTTGTTTACATGAATGTAAGAATTTGCAGGTTAAAAAATTGTTAAAAATCAAATATCAGTAAGCCCTTCCTTTTTAATTATGATGGTTGTCCTTTTTTATGCTTATCTAATGCTGATCATCCACATTCAGGCAAGAAGAAGAGTGACATGTGCACGTGATGTTGCTTTAATGTTATTATACTCTTATGATGTAAAACTGTTGTGTGTTGTATACTGAAGTTGTGCTCATGGGGTGTGGTGCTCAAGGATTGTAAATGTGTACATTAAGTTCAGGATAGGTAAAATAAGCTGTGCTACATTCCCATTTTGAACTGACTCAGTTTACGGAGTTACTTTGAGACAAATTAAAAGTCTTACATATCAATGCAATTTTTGTTTATTTTTATATTTTTACTATTTTTTTTACTTTAGTATGTTTGTTGCTTTAATTTTTTTCTCTGCACCTTTGTGAGTTCGATGTATGATTTAATTTTGCTCAAAATGACTAAAATTATATATAATAAATGTTGATCATTAGATGAAGAACAAGTGCAATAGAACGTATGTGTGAGAGGAGCACATTGTTTTAAAAAATGCATTTTCTACAGCGAGCAGTCGTTGTGTCCTTAGGCAAGGCACATACCCGCCTTGCCGGCTGGTGGTGGTCGGAGGCGCAGGTGGCGCCTGTGGACGGCAGCCTAGCAGTGTGCCCCAGGACAGCTGTGGCTACAACGTAGCTCACCACCACCACCAGTGATGAGGTGTATGGTGCCTGGTGTTTGGGCGTATGTTGAAGAAGAAGAAGATGAAACAATCTTTTACATAACACCTCTCAAGATAAAAATCACAGGGGCTTCACAAGAACAAAATAAAAAATATTAAGAATAACAAGATTGAAAAATGATTTTTAAATATCATAAAACTGGGAGAAGTTTAAAAAATTGTGATTAGAAAAAAATGTGAAGAAAGGGAAAGTGAATAAGGAATAAATTATGCTCGGCAACAACTGACCGAAACCCAAGACCAGCTGACAGCAGCTCGGACAGAGATTTCAAAACTGTTAGATGACAAGAGTCAGCTGGAAGAGAAAATTACCATCAGGGGCCATTTTAGCCCTTCAGTTTGATTATATCTTTACGTAGTGCAGTGTGTTCTCCCATACGCAGTATAGGGTTCTATTAATTTTATTCTTTTTCGCACCACTTTTTGCATTACATGTAGAGAGTTTGCACCCATTTCGTTGCTTAGGTTCATTCACATAATTCCTACACATATTACTTGCAGGTACTCATAGTGCTAGGTTTATTTTTGTTTGTTAATTTGCATGAGACGCCATTTTGTTGTGTCTACATTGAAGTGCCCTGTGCTGTGCTCTCTCTCCTCTGCTGAGTTTGTCGATGATCCTGCTTCCTGGGGGTGGACCCGTGACTCGTCATCCGAATCTACTCCTCCTGATTGGTGCTCCGGCTCGTGGGACCTGGACGTCCGTTTGTTCCGGCATGACTGCGGGGATACTTCGCTCGCTGGGACAACCTGCCTGCTGCTCTTTCCTGTGCTGGATTACGATAAGTGCAATTACAAAGATCAATATGCTGTTTGGAAGTATTCCAGACCCGTGGAGATATAAAGTTTGCTGCTGCTTCAAATTATTGCTTCCACGGAAATTTCTGATAATCTACTGACTTGTGTGCTTCCCGAGGAGTATGCGAGACTGTTCTTCGGTGTGGGGTTCGTACCTCACCGCTGTTGGCCTCTTCCTGTGGGATTGCACCCTGCTCTGTTGTCGGAGTCCTTCATGACTCTGGTTTGTTCAATGACCAGGTGGTCTCTGAATGGACCACCGTGCCCTTGAAAAGGGGGGTATGTAACGTGATGAAGGAGCTATTCCTCCAAGGTTATTTATCCTCTATCTACTGTTCCCTTTGACACAGCGCCAGAGTGCATGAAACAGCCTCAAGGTCATGCATATTGCTTCTAAACTGTTTACTTTCCAGCAATGAAGACAGAAGATGAAGAGACTCTTTTCTTTTATTAAATCAAAGAACTCTATTTTCAATAAAGCTAATCAAAACAACTGTTAGTCAATAATACAATGTGACCGATCTGTGAAATCACAATATTATGATTAATATGTTTTAATAAGTAAAATGACTTAATCTAGTTCACTAGAAACACTGATACAGGTAAGGAAAACAATCACATGACACATTGCTGTTGCTGATCCAATCAGAACCTTCCTAGTCTGAAGTGTGGCAGAGTCTCTGTGGTGTTTATAAATCTGCTGGCTTTGATTCGTCCAGAATCAAAAACATCCAGATTAATAAAACAGTTCCAACGCCATCTTAAGTCCAGTTCTCAAGATCCCACGGAGTTCACCGCAGCTAAGTGAAGTATCGGACCGGCCATTCTGTACTTCTCTTTTTAAGCTGAGAACCGTCAAGCTGGGAAAAATTTGTTGTTTTTACAACTAAGCAACGGTGCCTTTCAGAATAAAAGCTGAACTCGCTGACCCAAGGAGGGTCCCCCTTTTGACGCTGTGAACCACCTGTCGCTTTTTACCGGGGGACAATCCACGGACTAGTTTGTCATGCTGTGACGCTGTGCCATCGGCTCCAGTACCGGAAGGAAGGTCCGTGGACCTGGCATTCTGGATCCGTACAGGAGGTCTCCCTGAGGGTATGTGTGGATGCGACAAAATGGCGTCTCATGTGTTTATGACTACCAGTCTCAGACTCTGATAAGTTAGGAGCAAACATCATCTCCCACTCAGACTTTGTTTCTCCGGGTACGAGGGTTCTGAATGACACTCGTTCACACACACCATCCATCTCACACCTCATTCAAACAGAACATCCACCATTAGAGAGTTAGTCTTGTTTAAATTGTTTAAAATTATTTAGTTACAAACTATCTTAAACATTTGAAGGTCTCTCTCTCTTCTCTTGTCTCTCAGTTAATACAAGGTGTCATCTAAATCCCTGCATTAAAAAGATCCAATCTTCTGATTAAATAAACCAGTGGTCCGCAAGATGGATTTCATACTAGATATGAAATTTTAATGTCTTGTGGTCCTTTATTAAATGTAAATTAAGAATGTTACACACCTCTCAAGATAAAAATCACAGGGGCTTCACAAGAACAAAATAAAAAATATTAAAAATAACAAGATTGAAAAATGATTTTTAAACATCACACAACTGGGAGAAGTAAAAAAAATGTGATTAAAAAAATGTGAAGAAAGGGAAAGTGAATAAGAAATAGATCATGAGTGGAACGCTAGGAAAGGCAGAATAGGTAGGATCAGAATAAGGAGAGAGTGGTGAAGGTCACACCAAAGCATGAACAGGTTAGCCTGGCAAGCCAGACTAAATAAATGTATTATTTAGTCTGGCCACGCTCCATTGACGGCTCTCGGTTGTGGGGCGGGTTCTACCGTTGTCTTTCAAATGATCTCCGCATGCTACTGGACAATGAATGTGACATACTCTTGTTTCACTCTGTTGCATCATCCCACCCACCAGGCATATAGAGTGCCCTGATTGGCCCACAAATCGGATAAAGCTCTGTGATTTGTTCACTAAGCAGATAGAGCACTATGATTGGCCCACCATTATGGACCAATCACAGCTCTTAATGTGTTTGAAACCCCTCTAGAGAGCTGTGATTGGCTAGCCAGAGTCCTGGTAGGAGCTGCTGAGGTTCCAATGGAGCATGCCTAGACCATTCTTTGCAATGCAAGAATTTGGTCTAGTTCACTAGGCTATGAACAGGTGAGTATTCAGCTGCTTTTTAAAGGAGACCACTGAGTCTACTGGTCTCAGTTCCAGAGTCTGGGGGCCACAGCAGCAGATGATCTGTCACCTTTGACCTTTAGCCTGGTGCTGCACAACCTGTAGGGTTTGGTCACTGGACCTCAGGGACCTGCTTGGGGTGTAGGGACTAAGAAGATCACCAATGTAAGATGGTGCTTGTCCATGTAAGGCCCTATAGACCAGAACCAGGATCTTGAAATGAACCCTGAAGTTAAGCGGCAGGCAGGCTACCATAGTTTGTACCTTCCTGTTACCCTGGCTAGCCATCCTATATATGTGGATATGTCGGTTGACCATGACCCATAGACAGAGCTCAGTCGTGGGGTGAAAGCTATTGTTGCCTTTCAAAATGCCTCTGCATTCTACTGGACAACAAACAAAGTGACTCTCACTGCTACGGATGTCAGTCAACAAGGTAGTCCACCATACTCTGTCGAAGAAGACACAAATATGTCTTTTTTCTAAATGAAGGACTTAAGTACCTCTGTCTGTTCTTGACTCAAAGAAGAAGCCATCTAAATAGTCCAAAGTTGAGGCCAAAACCATTTCAAATGATCTGCCTCTGTCTTAGCTTTTCTGCTCTATCGCAATAACATCCCACCCACCAAACTGATAGAGCGCTGTGATTGGTCAGGCCTGCTAAGGCTCCAGTACAGTGTGGCTAGACCAACCTGCAGAGCAAAAAAATTTTGCTTTTGCTACTGTCTGTCTAGATTTCTATGCCTCCTTCCTGCTGCATCAAACATTTGTTTTTCTTATTCATTTATCTGTAACTAGTTAACTGATGCTTAAAAACACAACGACTGTGTTCAGGAGAGATGGCCAGAATTTCAGCCCCACATCACCAGTGTACACAGTCTGGATCCAAAAGTATGGCATGGTGTCACCTGCTCCTGGGGAATCCTGGATTCAATTTTTAATCATGATGATCTATCTTTATTTACATTTATACTTCTGCTTTACCATTTATGTTTGTATTTTTCTGCCGTATCCTCATCCGTGGTACTATTATCTTTTTCAGCGTTCATAAAACTTGACTAAATCCAGCAGCTGATTTTTCCAGACCAGGAAACTAGAAAAGAAATGACGCATCAGATCCAAAACATTAGTTATTGTTGTTGTGTGTGTGTGTGTGTGTGTGTGTGTGTGTGTGTGTGTGTGTGTGTGTGTGTGTGTGTGTGTGTGTGTGTGTGTGTGTTGTACCTACAGGTATTTAGAAATCATTTTATACAAACAAGGCTTAATTCATTTCAATGGAACTTTCACAATACAATAAAGAAATGTAAGTTTTGTGGCCAGCAGGATTTTCTGTGTGGCTGTTTGTCCTCAGCGACCAAAGTCTGGACATCAGAGACCTAGAAAAATTAATTATCTGCATTTACTCATTAATTTATTGAACTATTCACGTTTTTTTTATCACCAAAGGAAATACAGTGGGCTTTGTTTTTGTTTTGTGGAGCGCGCACTTCACGTTTCATCCACCAGATGGCGGAAGTGAGTCAACCCCGCTGTTTAGCTCCAACGAAGAAGAGCTCTCAGGGGGTGGGAAGCCCGCCGTTGCCTGATGAATTAAAACGTTTCGCTGAACGGAGACACATTTCCCTCTTTTAACCTTTTTCTCTCTCAAGATTTATTGAGTTCGCTTCAGTCGACCACTTTTACCAGGATGACTCAGCAAGGCGCCGCTCTCCAGGCCTACAACAACGAACTTGTCAAGTGTAAGTGACTCGTTTGAAGGATTAAATACTTTATTTCTTGATTTAAACTCATAAAATGTTCGGAAAATAGATAAAGTTGCTTCAGCTCTAGAATTTAATTACATTTTAACCAAACGCCACATTTAAATGTATGTAAAAAGTATCTAAATTTAACACTATGTGTGTAATTTAGTGTTTTAATCTGGTTTGTTGTTTTTTACATGTCTGCTTTAATCTGGACCACCATCAGATTAACCCACATGAAAGCTGAGCTTTATTAAAGCCATATGATTAAAAAATACTGCTTATAGCTGCGTTTCTTTAATATCCTCATTTAACCCTAAAACAACTAAAAATAGCAGCATAGCGGAACTAATGTGCTTTAAACGTTCCTACCCGGTGGTTAATCCGTGCGGCCTTCCTGCGGCAGGTTTTTAAACTTTCTGACTGGTTTACACAGTTTTCTTGTTCTGGGGAGCCATCAGAAATGTTAGATTGATGTTTTAGTTGAATAAAGTAAAGCTAAGCTCGTGTTTTTGGATCAGAGCCACTTCAGGTGTAATAAAGCTTTCATTTTCCTGTCAGGTATCGAGGAGCTGTGCTCAAAGCAAGAGGAACTAAACCGACAGATCCGTCAAGAGGAAGATGAGAAGGAACGTCTGGAGCACGACATCCGTGTTCTGTCTGAGAAACTGAGCCGGGTCAACGAGAGCCTGGCACGAAGACTCTCAGCGCGTACGACACTGGACCGCACCATCGCTGAGACAGAAGCTGCCTACGCCAAGGTTTGTCCTGGTTCCGTCTACATCAGGGCTCTCCGGCTCTGCTCCCATAGGACTCTGATCCAGGATGTTTCAGTTGTTTTCGTGCTCCACCACACCTGGTTCCATGGTTTACTCACCTGTTCGGCAGCTCATGAGGCCCTACAGAAGCCTCCTGATTAAAACCTGATGTGTTGAAGCAGAGAAACAAATCAAATCGGCTGTACGGTGGCCCTGGAGGACCACGGCTGGACATTATTAACCTGAACCTGATGAGGTTTTGTAAAAGTTTTTGTTAAAAATGAGAGGAGCGTAGCTTTGATTTACCAGAATAATTTCAAATCCCAACAAGTCAACGAGCTTAATAGTGTAGAAGGGAGATAAATTCAACTGTTTCGTCACGATTACCAGGATAAAACGTGTTGTCATGGCAACGTGGGGTTAAAACAAGGCTAGCCCCATCGAGCGATGATTCCACGTGACTTAGAGGAACATTTCAGACATTTGTTTCGTTGTCTTACTGTAGATGGCCTTCTGCCAGGCTGCTGTTCGGAGGGATAGACGAGCTAACGGCTAGTCTGAGACAAATTCACAGGGTGCAGCTGTCTTAAAGCAGTCACGTCAGTTCCCGTGGTGTTCTGTTTTACCCTTTAAGTGCCAAATTCCTCTGATAATATTCCAGGAAATTAATCCTCTCGTGCAGGAGTGGGCAACTCCCTTCCCAGATGGCTGGTACCCAGCCTGGTTTTGTTGTTTCCCTGCTCCGACACACTCGAGTCACCTGCTCAGCAACTCATCAGGCTCTGCAGAAGCCTCTTAATCACCTACTGAATAAAGTCTGGTGTGTTGAAGCAGGGAGCTGATTAAAACATGCTGGATACCGGCCCTCGGAACAAGGAGTTTGTCCCCTCGCTCTTGTTTAAGGTTTTATAAAATAATGCCACATGAACCGCTCTGGAAGTTTAGAGCAGTTCTAAGAAGAAAGAGTTTTTATGTGGATAAAATCACAAGAAAATCAGGAAAATGACTCAAAAAGGTAAGTGAAGTAAACGCGAGAGTCCGAAAGATGCAGATTTAGTAGAAACACCAGCCTGAACAGCGTCTCGATCCTTGGGTCTGGCGTTTAATCCCGTAACCGTGTTTTAGCGTCTGTCAGATAAATCAGGCGGATCAGACCAGATTAGGCCACCGCTGAAGGTTCGTCGTGTTTCTGTGTTGTTGCTGAACTCCGCCTTAAACGAGTGAAAACACACTCCTGCTCTGCTCTAATTATAAAACAACAAGGACATCCGCAGCCCTTCTCTCCTCCTCTTCTCTTCCCAGCGTCAACGTGTTTTACTGTTGATTTTTTATCCTTTTTACAGATTTTAGAAAGTTCCCAATCACTTCTGAGCGTTCTGAAGCAGGAAGCAGGAAACCTCAGCAAGGTCACGGAGCCTCAGAGGAGGGACCATTAACGGCGAGGCGACGTCGGCAACCACAGAAAGACGTTTTTGCACATTTAAGGACTCTTTTGTACCGCTTCTAATGTTTTTTTCTTTCTCCAACATAATAAATGTATTTAACTCTCGTTTGGTGACAGAATAATAAATAAGTCACTGACTCGTTTGTTCAGGTTGTCGGTTTATTCCGCTTTTCTTTGTACAAGTATGACATCATCTTTTTAATTTGCCCCAGTTACTGACAGTTTACAGGTAAGCACATCAGCTGATGGAGATCTACAGACATGGGGGGGGGGGGGGGGGGGACGATGGATGAGGTGGAGTTTCTACCACAGAGTCCAACATAAACACAGAAGGTCCAGGTTCTGGTTCTGCTGAAGTTCTTGCTGGTGTCAGAAAAAACAATCAGTGGATTTTTGTGATTGGGGGGGGGGGGGGGGGGGGGGTTACATGACCACGAGCGAGTCACCACAGCAGGTCCAGATAACACCACAGCTACTAAAACCTTCACATCGCTGCTGATAAATCAGACACTTCAAGTAACGATTGATTTTCATTCTGATCATCGATAAGGCCGAACGTTTCATCGCGCTGGCAGCAAACGCTCCGCCTTTTTATGACCGAGGCACTGAAGTCCAGATGTTTGAGTCGAACTGGAGCTCAGAGATACTTCCTGCTGGTTCTTCATGTCAGAAATGTGTCTGCTTGACTTTTAAAGGCAGAACGATCATAAAAGCAGATAAAGACTCAGCATTATTAATCAAAACCACCTTAATTCATTACGTTTGGCTGCTGGAAGGAAAATATGAAGAAACAAGGGATGATTAAAAACTGCTTGATCCGTAAATAAAAGCAAGTGATGCAAAACTAATGAAAAGAAAAGATTTCCTATTTCTGGAAAAGTGTCGAATAAAAATGTTTTTCTCTCTTCTAAAACAAAAAGAAAAGTTCTATATAAATAAATGACTTATGTGTAATTTCTTGTAACTTTTTTTACTGAAATTTAACAGAAACATTAAAAAGTGATTAAGTGATCAAACATTTCCCCTAGATTTACAGAGAACACCCATAGCTATGTGGGCTGAACGGTTAACGTCTCACCTGCTGTACATAACAGTCTGAATGGCCTCAGCTGGGAGAAACAGATTAGTTCTGATGGCATGGACGAGCACCGACACGGCCAAGTCTCTTAAATAAAACAGTTTATTCTAAAAATGTTCACAGCAGTTTAGACAGTTGCTGTTGTGCTACAGAAATTCTGCCAGATTAAGGATGATCCCGCCAGAAGTGCTGCACTAGCTAGCTCGTGGGCTAATTTCACCTGCAAATAAAAGCAATAAAAACCAGCAATAACATATATGGATGTTTTTACTTCAAGAGTCATAAAATTACAGTAAATTCAAGATTGTAAAACTTTATAATTTGTTAAAAACTGTTAATAGACTAAATCTGTCAGAAATTGGTATCAGCAGAATCGGTGCATCTCTACAAAATAACAGAAATCATCGTAACTGACGATGAAATGTGAAATTTATGATGGTGAAAGTGTTAAAAGTTAAAGTTGGCAGGAACTGCTATGATTTTGTTTTATCTGAACCATGTGTCCAGTTAGATGTAAGCTGTTTCTCCAAACTGAGGCTGTTCATCAGCGATGTCATTTTTCTCTTTAACACATTTTCTGTTCTATCCCTTTAAGGAATTTTATTACATCTTTAAAATTTTCAATCAGACAATCATCCATCGTCTGAACCCGCTTTGTCCACGAAGGGTCGTGGGGGGGCTGGTGCCCATCTCCAGCACACCACACACACACACACACACCAATCAACCTAACAGTCATGTTTTTGGACTGTGGGAGGAAGCCGGAGAACCCGAAGAGAACCCACGCATGCACAGGGAGAACATGCTAACTCCATGCAGGAAGATCCCAGGCTGGGAATCGAACCCAGGACCTTCTTGCTGCATGGCAACAGCTCTAACCACTGCACCACTGCGCAGCCATCAGCCAATCAGCTATTTAAAAATACATTCATGAAAAAAAACAAAACAGGAACACCAATTTAAAAAGCAGCGGTGACGTTTCAGCAGGAACTTATAACGGATCCTTCAAAATAAAAGCTAGAAGGATTTTGGGGATGGTTTGGGACAGAGGTGAAGCCGTGGGTGTGAGGGGAACCGGCACGCTGCTGCTGTTTGTAGTCACAGTGACAAGGCCAACAATCAGACGTTTGTTACAAGGCTGTGGCAAAAGTTTCAAAATAAAACAGACATGGCAACCATCGGCAGTGCATTCATCTGGTACAGCTGAAGTTTTATTTCAAAATGCTCTTTAGTGAACATCAAACAAACTAATTAAATGTCGAAAGGAGCCGTTTTAGTGGTTTTTACATCGACAGAAACAAACTCTTCCAGGAGGCTTCTTGTTCTTTAAGTGCACATTTCCTCTGTCGCCTTATTTCATGACTCATGAGGTGCAAAACGCAGCTAAAAGCATGACAGTGCAAAAAACATTAAACACCCAAGACAAATAATCCAGACAACAGCTAAATCCAGCTTAAAGGACTCCACGAACTTCATCTGATCCAAGAAAATCTATTTCTTTTTGATAGATCTCTATTTATTAACACGAGTTGGAAACTGTACAGAAATACTGGCTGTCGGGGGGTGGGGGGGGCAGAGAGCGCGGGGGCCGCCGCAGCAACACTTTCATCTGTTGGCATTTAGAGACCAAACAAAAACAAACATCTTTTTGCATATGTGTATAAAAAATGAATCATCTTGATAAAAAAGAAAGAAGTCTCTGAAACCCCGACGGTGCGTTTGCTTTTAGAGACGATGCTCCGAACGGCGCGCTCTGCGGAATGCCAAAAGTACGCGAGGTCCCAAACATCCGGCGGGATGTCACTCCTCCAACGCCAGCGAGTGTTCATAAACAAAAACAACAACAATAATTCTTCAGACATGCAGAATAAATACAGAAGAAGCCCGAAGAGCCGCCAGGCCTGAACGGATTTACAGTCACTAAAAAACTCACAGACATTATTATTGGCCAAGGTCACTTTTCTGGTCGTTTCATAAGAAAAGCTGCTACGGACCCCCCCCCCCCCCCCCGGGGTGCATAAACGTGCTCCTCAGTAGAGGATTGGGGATCCCCCCCAGCAGAAAACACCGAGCTACAGAGAAGCTTCAAACGTGCACGTACAAAAACAGACGATGTGGCACCCTTTCACCTTTTTTTACTGTTGCGGATTTAAATCCGCCGTTTTCATACTGTAGAAGTGATGAGTCCTGATGACACGTTGCCATGCCAACACTGAGCTCCGTTACCATGGCGACACAAACCCATGGACACTTTCTTTCCTTAAATCCTCAAAGTACTGGAAAAGAAGCAGATCTGGAGATCTTCCTCTAGAGAGAGACTGAAAGAGAAGATCCCTGTGAAGAAGAGGAGGAAGGGGGGGGGGGGGGGGGGCAGCCCAGCTGCTTTCTGGGATTTGTTGCTTCATCGAGGAGGAGGAGGAGGAGGAGGTGCTCTGATGTGAGCTTGTGGCAGGAAATTGGTCCGAAGTACCACGTGGGACTGGATGGTTGTGCTTGTTGTCTGGAGTGTGGAGGTGAGGCGGACTCCCTCTGGGTTCTGGAGATGCTACGGTGCAGACGATTGGTCGGAGAGGTCAGAAGTAGAGAGCTGGTTCGCTACTGTAGTCTGACAGAGACGAGCTGTCCACCGGAGTCAGCTGAAGAAGCAGAGTCAGTCAGTGATGATCTCACACACACACACACACACACACACACACACACACACACACACACACACACACACACACACACACACACACACACACACACACACACACACACACACACACACACACACACACACACACACACACACACACACACACACACACACACACACACACACACACACACACACACACACACACACACTTCAACACCAGGTTCCTCTCACCATGACCTCCTCTGTGATCTGAGGCGAGCCGACGTCTTCCTGCCGAACGCCGCTGTCGTGTTTGTTTTCCCGCCAGGCGCTGAAGTCGACCGAGTGTTTGGGAACGTAGCTGGAAAGGTCTGGAAAGACAAAAACAAATGTAATAAATCTGCTTTTGCAGAGCATGAAAATGTTCTCTAGTTTAATAAACACTGATGTTTGGTTTGGTTGAGGAAGTGTACTGATGCTGTTTTCACCTGGTCCACTAGGGGGCGCTGGTCAAGGCTTTGAGCTGCCTCAGACACATTTGATCCACAAATAAAAATAAATGCAAACCAAGCACCTTTGATGCGTCTTCTCATTTATTTTCTTGCCTGATTTCCTCATTTATTTCCCTTTCTGCCCAAAAAATGGTTTCTGGAAGTTTTCACCACATCTTCGCGTAATCCTCCCAGAACTCGTCTCCTAACATTTACCGTTTGGTGCTTTATTGTTGTAGAAAACAGGATAAAACTAAAACTCTACATGAATAAATATCAAATCTACACCTTGATGACATCTGATGTCCCTAAACTTAAAGTTAAAACATTTTATAAATACTTTTCAGAATAAAATGTTTCACATTGTAAACTTTCAGAATAAAGTCCTTAATTGTTTTGTCTGTTTTATAATAAAATCCTAAAATTTCTGCTTTTAAAAATGACACAAAAGCACAAATGAACACATTTTCATTAGAAGAACAATTAGTCTGGATTTCCTTTTGCCTCTAACAGCGTGAAATTATTTTGATATATATTTTAAATGTCAAATGCAGACTTTCAGACATCATGGATGATTTTACTGGCCATCTTCGATTTAAAACTCATAATTTGTAACCTCAGCAAAAGCTTCAGAAGCCTAAAGCGCCATTTCACCGTTGCCGTGGTCCGTGTGGGTCAGACTGGGGCGAGGGATGTGGATCCGCCCCACCATGCTCGGCTGGTCGTCCATCAGCTTCCCGTCCCGTGCGTCGTCCTCGTCCTCGCTGTCCCACACGGTGCTCTCTGACGGATACTCGTAGGTGCTGTGCAGGCTCGACTCGTTGAATGAGATTTTCAGCTGCAAACAAACAAACAAATGCCGTCGTCGTCGGATCGTTCCTATTAAACTCAACAAGTTCCGATTCCCAAAACAAATACCGAGTAAATACGGAATATGTGACTTCCTGTTGGTCAGAGCAAACAGACGTCTGGTGGTCTCAAGTGAACATTAAAAACAATACACCGTTACCGTGACAACGGAGAAGAAATAAGAAGATGGACGCAGAGAATTTCATTTGGGGCTTTTATTTTGTAGAAAGAAAAAAACAAACAAAAATTCATTATGACAAACCGCTCCGACAACTCCAGGCAAACATGAAGCCAGTTTTAAATTATTGGTATTTTTGAGGAATAAAATGACGCGTTTCGCCTCCGATCAATCAGGAAAAAGTCGACAGAAGATGGCGACTTCCTTATTCAGCAGGTTTTTCTCCATCAAAGAAGCCCGTTTCCTGATGATGTCACTGTGCTCGTGTGTGATTTCTTGTCCTGGATCTAAATAACGTGATTATTCGTTTCTTCTAACGATGCCTTTTACTTCGACTTTCCCACTTTTTCACGTCACTTTAAAATTTTTCCCTAAAAATGTGTTCGTAAACGGTAAATGGCCTGTATTTGATATGGCGCCTTCTAGAGTCCTGGAACCCCCCAAGGCGCTTTACAACACAATAAGTCATTCACCCATTCACACACACATTCACACACTGGAGGGGATGAGCTACGATGTAGCCACAGCTGCCCTGGGGCGCACTGACAGAGGCGAGGCTGCCGAGCACAGGCGCCACCGATCCCTCCGACCACCACCAGCAGGCAACGTGGGTTAAGTGTCTTGCCCAAGGACACAACGTTTATCTCTCACCTAATAGAATATTTACTAAGAAATCACAATGTAACCATAGACACATTACTTCGGGTGTGTGTGTGTGTGTGTGTGTGTGTGTGTGTGTGTGTGTGTGTGTGTGTGTGTGTGTGTGTGTGTGTGTGTGTGTGTGTGTGTGTGTGTGTGTGTGTGTGTGTGTGTGTGTGTGTGTGTGTGTGTGTGTGTCTTCTCCATCCCCAGTGAGTCGTGGAGGATGGCTGCTTATACTGAGCCAGGATTCTCTGGAGGTTTCTTCCTGTTAAAAGGGAGTTTTCTTCTCCACTGTCGCTACATGCTTGCTTTGTATGAGGATTGCTGTAAAGACTCTGACACTAGTCAGTGACTCGATGCAACCTGCTGGGTTTCTTATATAGGAAACTTTTTTCTTTTCTCAATTGAATTGAATTGAAGGTCATAATTAACTCATGCATCCCACTACAGTAGCTATCATTCATTTATCGTTATCGAAATCCTCATTATATCGTGATAGTGATTTTAGGCCATAACTCCCAGCCATATTTTGGATATTTCCAGAGCTTAACTGTGAAAATGCACATGGTTTCTATAAATCTGTCCTGTTCCAGCTCGTATTTGTTCAGCAGCCCAATGTTTCTTCATCCGTCCTCCTCCTGATGAGTTCCCTGGTTTTGTAAGATCAAACTGCACAGTGGGCCGTCGTTATGTTCAGGTGCAAAGATTAAAAATGGGTTAAAACATCGATAGAGATCAACAACAACCTGCAGGGACGTTCATCAGACAAGGTTTATGAATAAAACTAATCATTCCAAGTTTCTGTGTGCCATATCAGATATGATCTCACAATAATTAACTGATAAAGGTTCAATAGGGAAGGTTGACTGAAATGATCCCATCATTCATCTGTATGCTTGGAGCAGAGAGGCCCAGCAGGGGGCGCTGTGATTCAACTCATTTAAACCAACAACTTGGCAAAGCACGGATTTTAAATGTAAATCCAACTTTGGAGCAAAGAGAGCTTCTTCTGTCCTCAACGGTTTCCTTTAAAGACGTTTTCAGTGGCAAGCTGAATAAAAACTAAGAATAATTTCCTGCCGAGTTATTTTGTTGTGCGTTGACTCAAAACCGATTCCTTCCTTGACGTTAGGAGTCTTACTTTTAAGTGACTCATAAAAAACTCAAGCAACCAAACAAGAATAAACATATCGACTGAAATTTACTTTTTTAAAGAAGCGACCAAAGTCCAAGATTATAAACCTGCTGCTTTGAACTTTTGACACAAATCTGTTTCCTTATTCTAAATAAAGTAAGATAATCCTGGCAGCTCTCCGACCAACCGTTTCACCCGTTTATAGCACCTGTAAATCCTGCACTGGCGCGTCACAGTTCAAAGGTCGTCCGAGAGGACAGGAACGGTGTGCAGCAGAGGCAGGAGGTAGTTCCGGGCCTGGAGGGTCGGCGTCCAGCAGGCCTTAGTTTTAAACCTGATTTCAACCAGCAGGTGATTAACAGGCTTCTGCAGAGCCTGATGAGCTGCTGCACGGGTGACTCAACCACTGGATCTAGTGTGTTGGAGCAGAGAAACCACTAAAACGTGCTGGATACGGGGCCTCCAGTTCCCCTGCTGTACAGTTCATGGTTCTGAAAACTGTTGCTTTAACACCGACTGTTGGGTTCATTATTACGGTTACTTCAGTGAACCCCAGGGTTTGTGGTTATTCTAGGACGTCCACTCACTTCAGGCCTGCTGAACGGGCTTTGAGTCTTAGAGGAAGTCTTCAGATGCCAAGTTCCATCAATAAATCAGGCTGGCCTCTGGGCTCGCTTCCTCCTTCAGCCCGACCCAGCAGCTCCGCTCTCATCCGAAACCCTTCTGCTGCAGCGCCGATCCGATCCAACTTACAACCTGTTGCAGTTTAAAGTCTAAAAGAGGGCCATCTCCCCCGCCTCAAGGCTCTGTGAGAGCAGACGTGATCGGGCCCTGCTTCCTGAGGGTGTTGGGGGGGGGGGGGGGGGGGGGGACCGGCACCAGATTTAGGCCTGCTGTCATTCTGGTTCACCGCAGGTCGCTCAGACAGGATGCTGCAGCGTGGGCACGGCAACGGTTCGTTTATTACTCAGCCTTTGTTTTATATTTAACAACCACCCACAATGCATTGCAGCGTGAGGCTTTGGCACGTGAGTTTCTCACAAGTTTTGTGCAAACCCTGCAGAAATGATGATTCGGAAACTCTTCTGCATCCTCAGAAATGACCATTTTGGGGATTTTTCTTTCTAAAATAGTCATTTATCTAAAAATTCTTTCACTTTCAGACAATTTATCACTTTGGTGTTTTAATATTTTAGTGATTTACAGATTATATTTGATTTCACAGGTAAAAAAATAACAATACTTATTATTACTATTATTTTCAATTATTTTTCAAATAAAAAATGTTTTTATTCATTATTAGGGGACAGCATCACAGTTTTGTTGCTTTTAGCTGAATTTTCTACATTATTTGTACCTCAATAAAATAGATGTGAGGGAACATAAAAAAGATCAAAAGGAAGATCTCACAAAGTAGAAAAGCAGACCGATCTGCTCGCCTGGCAAGAGCTGGGTCTAGCTCACTAGGCTGTGACTGTGTCTGGCTGAAGGAAGAGAACACACAACGGCTGGTTTCACACAGCAGGAACCGAGGGGACGACTAGCTCAGTAAACATTTCATTTGTCGTCCCCGTGTGATGAAACGGCGAGAGGACGATGAGAAGCGAGTTCTGGGCAGCAGACGAGAGGAGAGCATAGCCAGGAATTTATTCCAGGCCAACCAACACGTCCTGGTTTGGAGGCGACGAGCGCTTCCTAACGAACGCGGCTCCCTGACCATTCCCATCGGATCACCGAGGAGCTCAAACAGCTGCTAAATAAATGTCCGCGGTGTGAATAACAGACGCCTGTGTTTATAATCGTCTCAGCTGAGATACTGAACCCGGTGGCGGGGAGCGGTCGGCGTGACAAACCCAGACTGAGCAGGTGCCTGATTAGAGGTAATCTCCAGCCAGGTGGATGACATTAGAACAGGAGCGCCATGATGGGGCTGAGGAGCTCAGCTGCAGCTTCATACCCACTCTTAATACTTTACCTCGGGACTTTTCCTTTCAGATGTACATAAAAGATCATTATAACCCATAACAAGGCAGCGGGATGTTTCTATGTAGCCGGTCTTTGTTAACCCTTTACCGGACGAGTGACTGGTTTTAGTTATTTTCACACTTCCAGTCTTGATTTGCAGCCTAAACCAGAAACTTTATTAAATTAGAAAAAACAAGTCAAATTGTAAAAATATAACGGGAAAAACAAAGTACTAGAGGTCCACTGATATTAGACTGAAATTCTGCGACTGTACTAGGCTGCCCAAGGATGTGCCTGACTACATTCGGCTTTACTAAGGACAAATATCGGCCGATGTACAAAATATTTTTTTTCTTCTTCCGGCTCTTGGCGGGTGCAGACGCTTCCCCTCTCCTCTCCTCCATATCTAATCCTCAAGGCCGTTGCCTGCCTGTGGGTGCTGGGTGCACGGCTGCTTCTGCATTTTTTCTGGAAACTGAAATTCACTAAAATGGATCTCGTCAGCTGGTCTCTCAACGCGGTTGATAACATTTTTTCAACGATGAGAACGGGAGAAGGGGCTCCCGGATGCCCCTCCGGGACAGACCAGCTGTCTGTGGAGGACTCTGAAGACGTGTGGATATTCGTGGTGTTGGTGTCGGGTTTCCTGCTGATCGGCATTGGAGGCTACCTGGCTTACCGGAAAATTAACGAGCTGTTGAGGAATATTGGCCTGATCACCGGAGCTCAGAGATGGATTGCACCGCGCTGTGAATTCACAGACTCACATAATTGTCGAGATGAATCGTAAGCTTGGAACTTTGGCCGAGATCGTCATTCTTTGGCACAAAAGATGGATGCCATCAAGGAGAGAGTGGACGAATCAGCACGGATTGGGATAGATTAACGTCCATTATTGGGATTTTGAGAGGTTGAGGACCAACAAACTGTAAGACAGAGAGGAAATTATCTCTGTCTGGCCCAGAAACAATTTCTAATCTGAATCTGGCGCCCTTGAGCCTGCAAGGCTACAACGAAAACTCCCCCCTCAGAAGATATGTGGAATGTGCCGTCGCTATGGCAACTCAAC